GGGTCTTTCATTCTTCATCTGCCTGCGCGCAGTATTGGAGGTGGAAGATGCCTGGACGTGTAATGTTAATTTTACCTGTGATCCTTTGAATAAACCAGCACAGTTTTTTAGTATCCACTTGGACCGCCTCGTCTCTGAGTTCCTAGTTAAGAGAACTGGGAAAAATAGCTTTCACTTGTATATTTGAACACTAACTATTTAATAGTGGACTTGAATAAACACCATTGCAATGAGATTAAAATAAGTAAATAAAATGACTAATCCACACATTGCCATTTAATGTAACATGAAAGCTACTGCACTGGGTGCTTGCCTATCTGATGTTCACACTGAAAATATAAAGCAGTGGCGGTTTTTGGATCCACTTATGGTTTTTGGCCATATCATACACACCTACAAAACGCCCACTGCAAGTCCTCAGGCCCCTGACCAACGTAGCCCTGTGCGTTACAACACAGCAGGGAGTTTGCGTTTTTAACAGACAAGTCTGAATGCCCGCTAACCCACAATGTAAGAGAACTTATAACGCACAGTGAAACAGATACACACTGACCTCTCCAGCCCTCCGTGCGATGGTGACAGCATGATCCATGGCTTTCTGCCAGAGGTCGGCCATGTTGGAGGAGCAGCCCCTTCTAAGAGGAAAATAAACAGCGGAGTCAGTTACTGCTCTGATTCATGATTTTTGTTGGACAAAGTCTCATTAATGGGCAGCTGTGGTTCAGTGCGTAGAGCAGTTGTCTCTCAACCGGAAGGTTGGAGGTTCGAATCACGGTGCCTACAGTCCACATGTCGAAGTGTCCTTGGGCAAGACACTGAACCCCCAAGTTGCCCCTGATGGTTATAGACATTGGTGTGAGGTGGCGCCGCAGATGGCTGCCTCAGTTCTGTACCAGAAACAAATTCCTTGTGTGTGAAACATAGTTGACCAAATAAAGGTGATTATACTTATCAGAATCAGCTTTATTGGCCAGGTGTGTCTGACACACGAGGAATTTGACTCTGGTACAGCGGCTCTCAATGTGTACATACATACCATCAAGCAACACATTATCCTTAATGTGTAACTACAACTCTTAAAAGGATCCTCCTCCAATTGATATACGATATCGGTACATAACAGAACCTGAGCAGCAGCCAGCAGATGGCGTGTGATGTTCACATTAGTCTGGCAAGACTAGCCTAGTTTAGGCTGGCCTGCTGTGTTAACGAGGCTGCGTTGGTTGGGGGGTTACGTAGGGTGCGCACGGCCACATTGTGATGAGTCGACACGAGTCTGAATCCAGCCCACGGGTTCCCCTTGTTTTTCGGTTTGCCATGTTTACCACCAGTGTGTCGGCACTGATAAATTAAAACACCCCAACCCCACCAGTGGAGCAAATCAGCATACAAGTGTTAGACATTAAAACAGATAAATAAAAACTGTCCTGACATCTTTAAGGATGTCAATAATGACTGCTCCTTTTACTGTTATTTGCTTAATCCATTATCCTTAATGGCATCTAACAATCTAACATCAGAAGCTATAAGATAATCTGAATAGCAGTTAGTTTTCCTTGGCGGCTTCCTGAAGGCATTAGAACAAATTCTGGACAAATAACATTTTGACTGATTGTATGGATGCTGAATCAGCATCCATACTATGTTATCCTGGTCTTTATTATTGTATGGATGCTGATTCAGCATCCCTACTATGTTATCCTGGTCATTATTATTATTATTATTGTATGGATGCTGATTCTGCGATGGATTGGCGACCTGTCCCGGGTGTACTCCGCCTTCGCCCTATTGCCGGCCAGGATTGGTTCCGGGCCCCCCTGACCCTGTTCAGGGACTAAGCGGTAGAAGATGTATGAATGGATGCTGATTCATTTAAAATATTTAGCTTATTTTGAAAAACTTGCCCCATTCAAATGAATGGGAAAATTCTACTTCAGCATTCTTCCGGACCCCCCTGACCCTGTTCAGGGACTAAGCGGTAGAAGATGTATGAATGGATGCTGATTCATTTAAAATATTTAGCTTATTTTGAAAAACTTGCCCCATTCAAATGAATGGGAAAATTCTACTTCAGCATTCTTTCAGCTATTTCAGGTATCAAAATGTTCAGGTGTTTAAGGACATTCATGCTTCTATTCAGAACTTTTGTAAACTTCATACTTTTGAAATATTTAGCTTTATTTTGAAAATCTTGCTCCATTCAAATGAATGGAAAAATTCTAATTCAGCATAATTTCAGCTATCAAAATGTTCCGCTCCTTAAGGACATTCATGCTGCTATTCAGAACTTTTGCAAACTTCATACTTTTGAAATATTTAGCTTTATTTTGAAAATCTTGCCCCATTCAAATGAATGGGAAAATTCTACTTCTGCATACTTTCAGCTATTTCAGGTATCAAAATGTTCAGCTCCTCAAGAACATTCATGCTTCTATTCAGAATCTTTGTAAACATAATACTTTTAAAATATTTAGCTTATTTTGAAAATCTTGCCCCATTCAAATGAATGGGAAAATTCTACTTCAGCATACTTTCAGCTATTTCAGGTATCAAAATGTTCAGCTCCTCAAGAACATTCATGCTTCTATTCAAAATTTTTGTAAACTTCATACTTTTAAAATATTTAGCTTATTTTGAAAATCTTGCCCCATTCAAATGAAAGGGAAAATTCTACTTCAGCATACTTTCAGCTATTTCAGGTATCAAAATGTTTAGCTGTTCAAGTACATTCATGCTTCTCTTCAGAGTTTTTCTATACTTCATACTTTTAAAATATTTAGCTTTATTTTGAAAATCTTGCCCCATTCAAATAAATGGTAAAATTCTACTTCGGCATACTTTCAGCTAACTAAAGCATTGAGGTGTCAAAATGTTCAGCATTTTCAGGGCGATTTTTCAGCACTCACCATCCATACGCATTTTCTAGTATTCATCTGAGTTAAATGTAAGTTTAATTGACATTCAGTTGCCTAAGTCGGTCTTTTAACGGCGATTTTTTTTGACTGCTTGTCAGTTACCCCTATTGCCGACAGTACGTGACGATATGTCAGGGACACGTAAACTGTCTGTCATGTCCTGCTTTGTGTCTTTACACGAAGATGGCTTAAAACAGCCCATTTGTGAACGGAGTCTGGTGTACCGGATGTCAAACTAAGTTCAGGCTTTTAGGCCAAGAGATTTAAGACGCAGATTTAAGGTAAAGAAAACGCAGCTTGCTCCGGAACAAACCGGTCAACAACATATAAATAAAACAATATTAAATACTAAAACAATATTAAATACTAAATGTCACTGAAATCTCACCCGAGCTCAGCCCGAAGCAGATTCGCGGCTCCGCGCACTTCCGTGTTTCTTCTTCAGATGCAGCGCGCAGTTGCTTCCTGCATGTCACTCCGGGAAGCTACCCTGCAATGCAGCTTCATCAAGATAGAAGTGGTATGTTACACACATTAAAAATGTGAATTTAAAGCAGAACAAAACTGGTTTGGTATATCACATTGCTTTTTTCAGTTTGTTTCCTCCTGTTAACACAGGGTCAGAAATGTATAATTTGTCACTATGACAATATGATAGGTAGCAAAGATCTGGACCATATAAATGTTTTCATAAACACAAGTTTCTAGGTTCTCAACCATTGTTTCTTTTCTTTTCTTTTTTTATCAGAAGAAACCTCCAACAGACCCTGGCTCTTGGTGGGCGGCCTTTTGCCTCGGCTGGTTGGGTTGAGTGGATCGAAAAGTAAAGCAAAGGACACAACAAACAATCAAACACTGGGCAGGTTGATGTGGCCGGTGACTGCTCATCAGAAACATAGAGCTCCAGAGCCAGGGCAACCTACAGAAAGGTACAGGGAGAGAGAGAGGACACACTACAGGAGATAGAGAGGAGACACAGTGATGGGTAGTGGTGGTATATAGATAGATGGAGAGGGGAGGAAAAGGGAGGGGAGACACGAGGAGGGAGGGGAGACAAGAGGAGAGGGGAGGAACTCAGAGCAAGGCTTGTTCTCAGGGTCCAGCAGTTGATGTTTCATTGACATTCTTCTGTATGACGGGGACAGGAATAAAATCCCAATCCATGTTTGTGGTTCAATCTCCATATTACTCAAATATTGTATGAGCATTTCGATGGGCTACCGTTCTCACATAGAGCATCATCCTATCACCCAACTCACTTACACACCAATGGCAGACATTGGGAGCAACTTATCTTGCCCAAGGACACTTTGACATATGGAATGAGGAAAATGGGTATCAAACCACTGACTTTCTGATATGGGAACAACCGCTCTACCTCATGAGCCATAGCTGATATGAAACTACACAATGTTACACAGTGTTAATCAGTTGGCATTTTCATTATCAATCAGTCAGATATTCAGGCTGTTACAGCTTCTGTATAGATATTTTAAGAATGTTCACATCCAGCTCACCAAACGTCTTTGGCCTCAGCTTAGTAGCCGACTTCAAGAATTTAGTCATTATAATTTGTTTAGCAGAGCAGAAGAATCACAGGCTGCCTGCAGTCTGGGAGCTATGAGACACTCACTTCACCTCAGGTACAAACTGTTTCTGTTCTCTTCCTCACCCTCTCTGACAGGAAGTCTCACCATCAGAGTGCTGCTGCCCAACCTCATGGCCGACTGGAGCATCCATGTGACTTTCAGTGTGAACAGGCCAGTGAGGTAAGAGACGCATCGACCCAGGGACTTGATTGGTTTTATTTTCTGTGGCTTACTCTTCTTCTGTTTGTTAGTCTGTTAGTTTGTTGTTTCCAGCCACAGAGACTCAGTAGAACCTGACATGATGTCACAGTGATGTCATCAGACCAGAGGCCACATCATACTGCAGTAAATCTGTGGACTAGTTGTGCATGAAAAAATCAGCATAGCAACAGCAGCCAGGAAGTCAACAGGTGAAAAATGCTGCTGCTGTTTGACTTCTGACCTGTGACCTTTGACCCTCAGGTTCATTGGGGAGGAGTCTGTAGCTGCAGAACATCAGGAGCTGATTGACTCCTCCACCTGGAGCGTTGACCCCATCTACAGGATTAACTGTGCACAAGTGAAAAGCTCCACCCACACAGTGATGTCACAGCAAGGTGATTTCATCTGCTGACATGTTCAAACGTGCATATCAATGTGCTGTGATGTCTCAACTGACCTCAGCTATTCATTCATTCTGGTCCACATTTCCTGGTGATGTTTCACAGTAGTTTTTTTTTTTTCCCAACTTTACCGTTTCAGTGCATAGCATAATGGGGTGTGTAGCCTGTGAGGGTTACTGCATCAGTTTAGACTGACTCCTGTTGTTTTCAGAGTATAAAATAACATCAGATAATTCACTTCAGTCTGCAGGTAGAAACAAACAGAGCAGACACACACGTTACGTTTCCATTACTTCAGGGGACATTACATTGACTTGCTGTACATTCATTTCCTGGAGGAGACTTACCCGAACCTCAGCCTAGCCCTAACCCCACCCCAGTACTTGGAAGTAAGGAGAAAAAAGTGCATTACAGCCTAATTCAAGCATTAGTTCTGTGAATCTGACACATTTGTTAGTACATTTTGTAAGTCATAAAGGTGACATATTGGAATAAAGATATAAGTGTGATTAGACAGAAAAGGTGTGAATGTATCATGTTTCCCCACAGTGTACCAGAGTATCAGTAACCTGGATTTAAAAAGTACCAGAGTATCCTGGATAGCAAAATACTAGATAGGATCGTTCCGGAATACATTGGTTAGAACGTACCAGACTATTGGTAACCTGGATAGCAACATATCAGACAGCACCATACCAGAGCATCAGTAACCTGGATGGAACCGTACCAGAGCATGACTGAACCTGGTAGCAACGTACCAGAGAATCACAATGAGAACGAAATGAAAATCTCATTAATTAGCAGCTGAAACTGTTACAGAGCAAGCACAGCACACACACACCTGGGGTTGGTGGAGAACACAAACTGAAAGGCCAGGCAGAGAAATGTGGGAAATATTTAGCTGAATATGACAAAATGCGTAATGACTTAGAAGCACTGACTGTACCTTTACCTGATCAGTGTGAGCCTTATATGAGCACCACATGGTGATGATGATGTTCTCATCCTTTAAAGTTAAGACAGACTGAAGAACTAACTAAAATTTAAAACTGCATTTTTCTTTTTTATTTTCAAAAACAACCAACCATATTTTTTACAAAATGAATAAAACACATGAAGGAAATTTCGATTTAGTTTAAAACCTATTTAAAACATTTGGTAAAAACATTGTATTATCAGCTCACTGTGTAAAATCACACCAAATCAAACTGACTGATCCCTGAAATCACTGAAATCTGATGCTGAAGCTGCCGACAGACTGCTGGTGATCGAAGTCATCACAGACCTCATGTCTGTTTAGTGCTGATGTGATGATGTTGTTTCCTGTCAGGACATCTGTCTGCAGCAGTCTGTTGTTTAATGTTGTTGCTGATTACTGCTGTAGAGTTTGTTTCCTGTTTGCTATCATGTTGTGTGTCTGGCTGTAGCTACATCTGCTGCTGCGACAGGCTGCAGAGCTGCCCAGGGATCCTCCAGCATCGATGTACTGAAATATTTCTCCACTGAAGATTCTGAAGGTCCCAACTGAAAACACACAAACATTTATTCTGATGACTTAATACAATCAGAAATTGAGTTTGACTCCACAGTCACAAACATATCTGACTCTTCTACTTTTTGGATCAGTAAATTACTGCCTGGCAGAAGTGGGGGACTCGAGTCACATGACTTCACTCGAGTCAGACTTAAGTCACAAATTTGACGATTGAGACTTGCCTGACGAAGACTACTAAAAGACTCGACTTGACATTCATGACTTGGCTGTTTTACCTGACCAGGTCTAACCTACAATCATCCACCAGTGAAGCCCCCCGTGGCAGTGAATGATCAGCTCATCAAGGCTGGATTCCCCCGGAGCACAGTACCTGTTTGTCCTGACTGCTTAAGGCCAGTGTGTCTGCCGCATATGATGTGTTGCTGGTTAAGAAACGGATTAACGACTCATGATGTTATTGTCAGCGTTACGCTGGGACAAATACGCTATTGGAATTAATTTCACTACTTTGGGACTGTATGTGGTCGTGTGTGGAAAGACGCAGCGACCACCAGTTGGATTTATTGACCTTGGAGCTACTTGAAAGGGAGCGATGTTTCCACTACTCGGTGGGACTTAACGGTGAGTTTAAAAAACATGGTGCGTGTCTGTTAATGGCTTGTTTCTGTAACATTAGAGAGAATTGTTGTAAGGCTGGAAAAGTTACTATGTCTGCATTATACCACTTAAAACATGGAGTTTCTCAACTACCTGCTTTGTTTAGAGTGTTACACATCTCTTTTCATCGGTACATATACCAATGTTTACTTATTTGTGGAGGAGAAATTCAAATTAATTAATGCCATCACTGTTGTGCTGTCCACTTGGGACACAACACCGGCAACGGGAGTTGTGTGTGTTCACAAAGGGTCTTTGGTTTTATCATTCTGAAATAATTGCAGACTATTTGGAGTTATGGTGGGTGCAAAGATAATCTAGAGGTAGCCAAGATTAAACATTAAATGGCTGGAAATGAGCACGTCATGGGCACTTTAAAATCCTTCTAACATACAAAGCCCTTAATGACAAGGCTCCATCATATCGCAAAGACCTCATAGAGCCTTATCTCTAGAGTGTTACACATCTCTTTGTCGCTGTTCGTTGTGCTGTCCACTTTCATATTCTGCCTCAAACATGTCAGGTAGGGTTAGAGATATTGTGATTGTCAAAAACAGCATATTTGTTTATGTGTTGTCCTGGGTTCCTCACCGGTATTGTGTCAAAGTGTTCCCCCATCAAGATGTGTTTACCATAACTCGGTTTCATGTAGTGACCCCCTCAGTGGTTCTGATTAGGATAATTAGGGGAAAGGCATTTCAATGGGGAGACAGATTTCGATAACACTGGCAACAGGAGTTGTGCGCGTTCACGAACTGTCCTCTCGTTTTCAGGAGGAGGCTCTTGGGTTTTATCATTCTGAAATACCGTAATTAGACTATTTGGAGTTATGAGGGATGCCAAGATAATCTAGAGGTATCCCAAATTAAATATTAAATGGCTGGAAATTAGCAAAATGAGCAGCCATGGGGACTTTAAGATCCCTGTTTCCAGTTTATCGTCATTAATTCCCATATATTACCATTAATTCCCATGGAAAGTTTCCAACTTTGAAAATTCTGCAACCCTAAGGATAATATACATAATGTAGCCAAGTTACTTAAAATCAGCTACATGATAATTTTAATTTCATAATTTCTTACATTAACTAATGTTAAAATTAACTAGCAATGGGACGATCCACATTTTTTTCAGTTCCAATCTGATTCCTATTCACAATGGCCAATTCCAATAGATTCCAATACAAGAGTTAATAACTGTAAAAAACATTTTATTTTAACATAAATGACGCCACGCCATAAGGCCACTAATGAGGTTATCACAGTCAGAGCTTTATAATTACAAATTAAAAGTGCTAAAATCATCTCTTAACCTTACAAAAGACTCCAGAGATGTTGCAGCAAATTCCTGGATGAGCATAAACCTCTTCACCTTAGTAATGTCTAAATTATTAAGGCCCCGACACACCAAGCTGACAGCTGGCTGTTGGCCACGATGGGCCGTCAGTGAATGTTTGTCAGGGCCTGTCTTCCTGGTGTGTCCTGCACTGTTGGCACCAGTCAGACCTCGTTGATAAGAGAGACCACTCTGATTTGCTATTGAGCTTAGCAAATCCACAATTTCACCAATTTAGTGTTGTTGTTTTTTTTGCTTATTTTCCTATTTATCTGTGGCCTCCTTTCTTAATCCACAGTATTACGCTGTGGTAAACACGTTACTGTCCCAACGTTTTTTTTTTTTTTTTTGAATGAGTTGCAGCATCTCATTGAAGTGAGTGTTTATTTTGAACTAAAGGCTTTTCCAGATCTCTTCCACCCCCAAACCTGCGCGCAGGCAGCCTGGAAGATGAAAGACCCTGAACCAAAAATGTCTATACAATTTAATCACTTGGTTGGGCTAGCCCATGCTACACAGGCAACGTCAAACCGTGGCGTCACCTGATATGCCAGCTTGCAGCTGACCATAACAATAGTCAAAACATGAAGAAAGTCAAGGTGTGTGGCTGGTGATTTAGTGGTGTGTATCTAAGAACATTTTGACCTGACATTACACATAAGAAAATATTATGATTACCATTACAGTTAATAATAACAATCACCTCCTGCCTGCAGCCTTTGTCTTATTTAATTAACCTTGGCCCAAATGCAGCCTGCAGAGCTCATGACAATGACTAAACATTTAACAGCCTGAGCTAGACATCCTGTCTCCACTAAACATTTCTAGACAACAAATCTCTAACAAATATCTATCTGACTAGAAATTACCTAACAGAACAAAGAATAAAACTGATGAGGTGTCACATCAAATAATGTGCTGCTGTGTTTTCAATGTGATACAGGGCAGGGTGATTTACACATCACTATTTCCGGTTTTAATTTTACATACCATCCCGTCCCATCTGTTTCTGGTTTGGGGTTGTACTACTATCACCTCTGCTTCTTCCGGCCCCAACAGCGATGGCGACTGTGGTTACTCGCGCTCTCTTGTGTTTGTTGTTTTTCTTTGTTTTCTTGGTCTTTTGCAACTCATCCCGAAGAACTGTTAAATATCGGAAAACTCACACCAAACTACCTTCCTCTGATTTTTGTGAACAAAGAATGCTGTATGGACGTTCTGATTGGAGGCGCAGCAGCAATATACGGGCGCCGGAAAAAATGTCAGTGACGTGGAAAACGCTCTGGTGCTTTGGTGCGGTTACGACAGAGGGGAACACGGACCTCACTCCCATCTATTCACCTGGCTAATCTCCGCATAAGGCCCCTGGTCAATAAAATGGATGAAACTGTTCTCGTCAATAGGACTAAGTCTGACTTTGCACGCTCTGCTGCTTTGTACTTCACGGAGACCTGGCTCAGCGACTCGATCGCGGACAGCGCAATTCGAATACCGGGCTTCCAGGTGTTCAGAGCGGATCGTGTAAAGAAGCTGTCTGGGAAAATGAGAGGAGGTGGAATCTGCTTCTACATAAATGAATATTGGTGCACAGATGTAACAGTGCTACAGAGGACATGTATCGCAGCCCTAGAGACTCTTGTTATCAACTGCAAACCCTTTTACTCTCCCCGTGAATTCAACAGTTTCATCATAATGGGAGTGTACATAACACCGCAGGCTAATGCTAGCACGCTATGACTCCTAGCAGAACTGATTACTAGCCTGGAGCTAGAACATCCCGACTCTCCACTCATTGTTCTAGGGGACTTTAACAGAGCAAATCTCACCCACGAACTGCCAAAATACAGACAGCACTTCACCTGTCCCTCCAGGGCCAAAGTCACACTGGACCACTGCTACACAACAATAAAAAATGCCTATCACTCTGTCCCCCGCGCAGCCATTGGACTCTGATCACTGTATGGTCCATCTTATTCCAACCTACAGGCAGACTCATGTTTTGACTACTGCTCTGGGCAGTTGCAAAGCTGGCACCGGGAGACGTCACGTCTTGGCGTCTCTCCTTGTAGTATGGGGTTAGCCCGAAGTGATATAATGTATAGGCCTGTTGTGGTTCAGGGTCTTTCATCTTTCAGCTGCCTGCGTGCATGTTGGAGGTGCAAGATACCTGAGCGTGTAATGTTCATTTTTACCTGTGTTCGTTGAATAAATCCGCACTGTTTTGAAGTTACTGGGACTGCTTCGTCTCTCAGAGTTAGCGTGGTAAAAAGAACCGGATGCAACAGAACTCTGTACAGCCAGGCCAGGAACACGCTGACAAGGGAGATCAGAGCAGCAAAGAGGAGCTATTCTGAAAAGCTGAAAGCTCAGGTTTCAGCCGACGACCCCTCATCTGTGTGGGGGAGCCTGAAAACCATCACTGGCTATAGAAAACCATCCCCCCCCTGCTGTGGAGGACCGTCAACTAGCAGACGACCTGAATGTATTCTACTGCAGGTTTGACAATCAACACTCCCCCACCCTCCCCACCTCAGACCCAGCAGCTGCTCCCCCAACAATCACCACCCTTCCCTCCAGCCCCCCACCTCTAACGATCTGTGAAAATCACTCCACCATCTCCCAGTGTGAAAAGCTCCACCATCTCCCAGGACCATCACCAAGAAGGCACAGCAGAGGATGTACTTCCTGCGCCAGCTCGGGAAGTTCGACCTGCCCCAAGAGCTGCTGATAACAGTTCTACAGAGGAATCATTGAGTCTGTTCTCTGCACCTCCATCACTGTCTGGTTTGGCTCAGCAACCAAACAGGACAAGTACAGACTTCAGCGAACAGTCAGGACTGCAGCAAAGATCACTGGTGTGAGCCTGCCCTCCATGGAGGACCTGTACACCGCATGGGTCAAAAGGAGAGCGGAGAGGTCACTGTGCACTAAGACAGCCAGGCACAAAGACAGTTTCTTCCCCCAGGCTGTCGCTCTGATGAACACTTAACCCACAACAGTATGACTGGACAATAACCCTCAGTGAAGTACCTGTAAATATACCTTGTACAGATTATACAGACTTGTACAGGTCTCTAGTTTTAAGTACTCTGTTTTTATACCTATTTATTTCATTTCAATAAACATTCCTTTATTGTCTGCATTGTTTACTGTCTGTTTATACCGCGTATTCTCCATTGTTTGCACTGTTTGTTGATGTTTATACTGCTATTTTGTTATATTACACAGCCTTATGCTGGTTTACTGTTTGCACATTGAGAGCCGATGTACAGAGTCAAATTCCTCGTGTGTCCGTCACACCTGGCCAATAAAGCTGATTCTGATTCTTTTATTAATAAAAATACGGACAGGAGCAGCGCCTCTGTCTCGGATTCCTATACCGACCCCCATAAACAGAAAATAACGTTAATCATATACTTTGACTACTTAAAACGTATCATCGATCAGTTTGCTGATAAACGCGTTACACCATGTTTGTTGACAACAAATAAACACTTTAAACTAAATATGATTTGAAACTTTACCTTGCGCTTCATAGCTGAAGCGGGACTGAAGGACTGTGGCCGCCGGAAACCCT